CAGTGTAGAGGGTTTGTGATACTTTGATCCCTGCTCGTTTCCTTCACCCCAAAAGGAAGAGCCCTGCATTGGTGCCAGGGCACTTTGTGTCCTCTTGGCCCTAGTAGGTGCTTTCAAGTGGTAACTGGCTTGCAATATTGCAAATATTAGGATATGTTGAACAATTTTCTCATCCAGGTGTTCGAAGGGCACCGCCACAGAGATGCTGGGGGACATTACTCAGACAGCGGCAAGGGACCTTTGGTGCATATTTAGAAGAGTTTGCAGTACTTCTTTCAGTATTTCTAATGCACGTGAATGCTGTTATTCCCCTTAGGTGCAAAGCGTGTTCTAGAGCTGGACCAATACAGGGGAGATGAAGGACATGCACTTTTCCGTGAGACTTTTGGCCACAATGCTGACTATTCACTGGGCGAAGCACTCTGGGCCTGCTCTAATCTCTTCAGTGATGTTCGAGTCAGACTGAGCCACAAAAGGATCATGCTCTTCACCAATGAGGATGACCCTCATGCCAATGACAGTGCTAAAGCCAAGCTGGCCAGGACCAGAGCTGGTGATCTCAGAGACACAGGTCATTATTTTCCCCTTTAATTTCAGGCAGAATAAAAGTAATGTATCCTTGCAGCAGATGTTAACTGCATTGCAAGTTTGTGATGGAAAAAGAATGTAAAATCATCAGAACTGGGGAATCCTTTTGAAGCTTTCTAAATTAGAAATTTGGTATCTAATCTAAATTAGAAAATCTGTTATCCAACAACTTACACTTATTTTCCAGGATCTCTTTTTCTACTCTGATAGCATAAATCAGGACCTGAGAGGACAGAGGAAAACAAGCTCTACTTTATTTCATTGCTCCACCATTTTCCAGGAAGGGAATAGTAACACTAAGTTAGCGCAAAAAGAAGAATACTTTAATGGCTCCATTTTGAATTAGCTGAAGAACAGCAACCTGAGGTTAGAGACTAGAGAACAAATGCTTCATTAGTTCAACTGTGTAGCCAAGATAACCAGTGTTTTTGGAGTTTAGCAGATGGGCTGGATCTAGAAGCTGTGAGGCTTCCTTATAACTGGGAAAGGGGAAATTCTGAACTCATTACTTCCCTCTATACCTGAGGTAAGATGATGTTTTATAGGAGCTTGTCAGAGCTGTTTCATACCTGATGTTGTCCGGGTTTTTAATTAGGGCAGGAACATTTTCTATGCT